CACATCTACCCTACCTTAAATGTCTAAAATACGCCCATTACGTTTTTATTATGGGTAAAATTTATTTTGAGAGTAAAGAAATCACTCTATATTGGATTAAAACATAGAGAAAATACTGAAATATGAGTTCTATATTTTAATTTCTTAAATAAAAGTTCGCACTGTGGTAATGTGACACTGTACATGTGCATTTTACGAAAACAACATGGTCATAATTGATATTGTAAATGCATTTTAACTTCTATTTTGAGAATAAAAATATGAAACTCTTATTTTAGTATATTTTCAATGTTTTACTTCTCTTTTAGTCTTTTTCCATGAGAGTTTTTAGATATTTTAGACAAAATTGAAGTGTTTTATGAGAGCTGTTAACATAGTTGTGAGAAATGTCGGGAGTAACTTTTTAAATAATTAGGCACTTAACTTTACATACTCCCTCCGTTCTACAAAATTCTTCCTCTTTCGTTTTTTTGCTTTCTACAAAACACTTTCACTTTCTATTAAAAAACCACTTTTACCCCCACTTTTTCATACCCTACCTATCATATCACATTTTTTCACTAATAACCAAAATATCACATCTTACTTTTTCTCATCACATCAAAGGCAAAATTGGAAAATCAACCAAAATTACACTTTCCTTATTTTTCTCCAAAATCAAAACAAAGTGTTTTGTGGAACCGAGTATTATCTTGATTCTGGTAAAAGGAGGACCGGGCGAGCTCGTCAACGACGGATACCACACGCAGAGGCCAAATCAAAATGCAATGGCTTTTTGACGACAATGCAAGTCATCTTACGCCGTAATGGCCGGCGCGTGGAGCCTTCAACCGATCTCCTTCCCATTCTTTTCCTTGAAAAAAGGTAAAATCAAACTATTCTTTCCCTCTCACAATATATATATATATATATATATATATATATATATATATATATATATATATAGAGAGAGAGAGAGAGAGAGAGAGAGAGAGAGAGATTGACTCCAGTGAGATGACACCTTACGGTGAGATGACATGCTTTGGTCAGATGACGCAAAGTTCACCACTGGCTACTGCAAAGCTCACCAAATACAATTACAAAGCTCACCAAACTGTTGGGCAAAGCTCACCATATTTTTTCAACACTTTGAATTTTTTTTATAACAAATTAAGGTTTACGAAGAAAATTGAACATATTTTTTCAGAGATTTTTTTGTTAAAGATATTTTTTACTCCGTATTAGTTTTTTATATTTTAGGTCTCTCTGTGGTTGACCGATGTTGCTATTTTATTTTTAATTATTTTGTAAATTTTCAAAATTAAAAAAATGTGAGTTTTGGTGTTCAAAGTGGTGAACTTTGCTTTATTTCCAGGTGAGCTTTACATTGGTGATTGATGAGCTTTGCAGTGGCCAGTGGTGAGCTTTGTGTCATCTCACCGTAAGGTGTCATCTCACTGGAGTCAATCCACACACACACACACACACACACATATATATATATATATTCTGGTAAGAATGAAATCTAATGAAAGAAATAAGAATGAATTATAACCATTGGATCTTGATCTTATCCGTTCCTTTATCATTCTTCTCACAAGGACATTTTAGGATTTTCAACCACAATCATTATTTCTTTATTAATTGCTCTTCTTCTCCAAAAAATCTACTTCCGATCTTCTCCCTTTTTAGTTTTCATTTTCCTTATCTGGCTATGGGATTTTCAATTATTGGGTTGCATCTTCACTCCAAAAGTAATGAGCAGCCATTTTCGTAAGATCCCTCCAAGAATTCAACTGCACTTTCTGATGTAGTCAAACAACACTTTCGACGGTTCTTGCGTCTTAATCTGATATACGGAGTATATGTTACTAAGGGGTTATTTGTTTCAGTCTCTTAATAGTTCAGATGTCTGAATGGTTCAGCACTTAATGGTTCAGACTGTTTGTTTCAGCCTCTTAATGTTCAATTTTGATATTATTTTGTAATTTTGACCTACTTTATAATAAAATCGGATATGATATGTATAATAGATGAGTCAAAATTAAAAAATAATATCAAAATCATTCATTTTTAGGGTGCGGCTTTTTTCGTTTTTGAAAAGTTTTATGGGACGAAGAAAATATATAACATGTAAACTTGTTTTATGCTTTGGAACATATACTCCGTAATAAATACTATATGGCTATGTGTCAAGCATATGTTCAATTCACCACTTTATGCTAATATACTCTGTATAATTCAACATACATGTATTTAAGTCCATACATGTGGTATTATAAAAATATGTAATCATATTATTTTCAGTAATGATCATTTTGAGCATAAATTTAACTTCATATTAACTTTATTTCAAATATGTACTTTGATAACAGTAATAGTCTCTCTTTAGATTGGGCATACCATTCATTGGTGCTTGAGCTTAGCCCTCAAAAAATGTCTCATTTTAAAGACATTCAAAGATATTGTGGAATTGATAATAGTTTAGACACATAATTTTTCCCACAATACTGCATAAGTAAAGCTATTATGCAGGTCATATGAATTTGTATACTTCACAATCATCTTAGCAGTACTTTTCATATGCCAAGGACAGTGGCAACAAAGGCATGTTGCCATAAAAAACATCATCAAACATTAGCACCTTTGAAGCAATATTTTTAATACCATACGTGGCATATACATATAGCCATAAAAAACATATACCTATATTTGACTTTCAGTGCAACAACTTCATCAATGCTAATATTTAAGTACACCTTTGAAGTAGTGGTAGATGATGGTAGTGTATCTGTGATAACAAAGAAAAATGATTAACTAAAAAACTACAATACAAACATGTGTCCCCAAAAAAATATCTAAAATCATTTACTCGTATACTGTTTCACCATATTCGAAGTGAACACACCAACAATTATAGATTTGCTAAGCGTGACCTTTTCGGTAATATAGTCGTCAAGACTTTTGTCTTAAAAGAATAAAATCTATAAGAATATAGGCATGCTTATTCCTATTGGCAACTTTATCAAAGTCAAGTAACACAAACCGATGCCACACATTGGCATTTCTATTATTATCAATAGAACCAACTTTGCCAATAACCAAATAAGTCCATCATAGTCATGAGAAATATTCCTCTTAATTTGTTCCTATTTAATTGTACTATCTCCCCTTATAATATGAAAGGGTAAAAAAAAATCTTAAAAGTTTTATAAGCTTCGGATAAGTAATACATTTCAAAGTTCCTTATATAGATTAATAAGCTTATTGTAATGTGACCAACAAAGGGGTACGGTGCACCTATAAAGCCAATGCTAGACGTTCTGAATTCTATGTCCATACATCCAACCACCGACAAATTCAAGAAATAGAGATGACGGTTAGAATACCTCCAAGCCCAACCTGTAGGTCTTCTCTTCCTCGAAAAGTACAGGGTCAGAGAGCGAGGGAGCCCTACCACCGCCCATGTATTCTGACTAATAGCAAGAATAGAGAAAAGAGGAGGAACAAAGATAAAATTACAATTAAGATTAGTTTAACTTCGATTAAAATTAAAAAAATACATTTAAAAATAAAGAAAATGATAAAAACAACTACAACCATACAAAATAAAAAAATAAAACAGATAATCAATATAAATTACCTGATTTGGTAAGAAATAAAATAAAAATATATGGAGTGGTGGGGTTAAACATTTTATGCACTATATAGGGGAATTAATGTATCACTTATTATGTTTAGGAAAAATTATAAAGAATAATCTCAACTTTATCTATTTTTCAAAAAATAAGTAGTAGTACATTAATACTATGTATAATGCGTAAGATGTTAAAACTCTCCACAACTGTAAGGTCGCACAACGAACTTGCTATGTGATAAAAAGGGCTAATAGGAATAAAAAATGAAATTCTTGACTAACACACCAATTTAAAATATGATAATAATAATTATTTTAATTTAATTGATAAATAATATTATAGTACAAAGAGAGAGATAAAAATATAGTCTTGAAAGTAAATTCTATATCTGGTCTCTAATTATAGATAATTTTTCATATTTAGTCTCCCAAGGGCACAATGGCGGTCAGACAAGTACACTAGAAACATATTTCGCTTTTTTTCGATGCATTTAAGAATGATATGCACGGAGAGACAAAACAGTCTCCCGAGCTCGCCAATTTAATACTCGGCATTAGTTTTTATATCTCTATATCAAATTCTTTTTTTGTGGTACCCAAATGAGATATTGAATTCGATATCTTCATATGTCATAAATGTTTAAAATGAGGATTTTCGATATTTTCAAAATTTGAGAGATATCAATATCGAAATTGTTAATCATTCTCCGTCATCGACTACCATTATCACCGCTGATGGGGTAAATTACCACGCAAATGCTAAGTGTAAGTGATCGGAAGGGTTGTAGGTGGAAACACCTGTAACCCGGTTTGTTATTAATGATAATAGGAGTTAATACAAATACAAGCCGTGCAGGTTAATTAAAGCATGCCTCACAAATGAGGCTTTTAGGGGTATTTATAATAAAAACAAGCACGTCAAGCACGTCCCGACGTTCCTGTTCTTCCGGCCGGTCAGTCTTCAAGCCATCCAGTCTTCATGTCATCCACCTGGGCAGTCTTTAGGTCATCCACCCGGGTAGTCTTCAGGTCATCCACCTAGGCAGTCTTCAGGTCATCCACCTAGGCAGTCTTCAGGTCATCCACCCGGGCAGATTAATGGGGACGGTGAGGTCAAGTCTGGTCAGACTTTAAGCCTTATGCGAATGTAGTCATGATCTCACATGTTTGACCCCCAACATCCACCCGGTCAGTCTACCGGGGTTGGTGAGGTCATGTGGGGTCAGAATTTGGTACCCCCGGGTGCCTGTGAACTTGCCGGGTGGTACTTGTGGATTATATCCATCAAGGAGTCCTCCGATTCTTGGCTTTGTGGGCACCATCAAGGGCGGGAATTAAATGTCTGAATAATTTTGAAGTTTTTGAATCCTCGGGAATGGTTAGCGGAAAAGTTTTTACGGAAATTTGGTACGCCGCCGCCTAGTCATCACGTCGTTTCCTCTTCCCGGATCGGGCAGGAGTGGGCCACCCGGCTGGTCAGATGCTTTGACAAATGAGAAGCTCCAGATGAAGGCCGGGCAGACGGGTCAGCTGGAGGTGGAGAATGCCCAGCTAAAGGCTGAGCTGGAGAGGGAGCGCTCCGACCAGGCTGTTCACGCCACTACTTGGGCTGCGCAGAAACCGGAGAAGTTTGCTGCCTGGGCACTTTTTGACCGGGAGGTCGGCATCCGGTTCTTCCAAGTGTCTCAGCAACTGATTGATGACATTGGGATCTATGGGTTTGGGACCTGTCAGTACCAAAAGCACCGTGGGCTATACGGGATCTTGAGCAACCGGGTGCAGGATTTTGACCCGGCCGTTCGAACTCTCAATCTCCTTGTTCACGGCTGAGCTGAATCTACCCAGTCGTTACCTGAGTAGAAAATAAGCCACCCGGGTGGGTTTTGACAGAGCATGCCCGGGCTATGCTTCAAAAGTTGATCATGTGAGTCATTTCTTCTTTCACCCGGGTGAACAAGAGCTCTAGTCCTCCGAGTGAGCAAGACAATCAATTCTTTCCATTCATGGCCTCGGCCATGTAAACAAAGGAACATATTCTTGAAAAAGTCCTCCGTGTCAAGTTAAGCAAATCCATCGTGACCTCGTCGCTCACCCGAGTCTAAATCTTGATCGGGTGGGCAGTTTTAGTTTTTTTTATTTATCCTGGGTAGGTTGGTTCACCATGACCTCGCCCAGGTGAAAAAGTGTTCAGGGAAAGATATCGAAGATCGGGGTAGGCCCGATGTTCCTAGTCCGACCGGGCTCTTTTTTTGCTGAAACCGATGTGCAACCGGTGTACCCAATTCGATTGGGCTCAGGCTTGTTGGAAAATATATGCAATACTGGTGTGAGACCAGTGTACCAGTTCGACTGGGTCACATATTTTCTTTATTTGTTTTTATTTATACTGCAGAAGACCGGTGTGAGACCAGTGTACTAGTTCGACTGGGTCGCAATGTTTTTTTTAATATGTGCAAGACTAGTGTGAGACCAGTATACCATGCCGGGCCTGTGTCACATATCATTTTTTTTGAGTTCAATTCGATTGAACATTGACCGGGCGGATGGGTTTGCAACCTTCCCCGACCGGTCATATCATCTTTTCTCAAAAAGTATGGTGTTCCCCTCGGGCAGTTTTGTAATGCTCAATTCGATTGAATACTGACCGGGCAAAACATCTTCCCCTACCGGTCTTACCATCCAGGCCACCCTCCCCATACCCGATTCATGGCATTCTAATGGGTAGTTGTCATTCTGATGATTAGGAATGAATTTTTTTAGTTTGTGCCCATTTGCCTGGATAAGGAAAAATGGTAATCTAGGAAAACAAACAATTCATTCCTCCAATAGTTTGTCATCTCAATTCGCTTTCAAATGTACTTTCAGAATCACTGGTCTGGAGCTAGTGAATTTCCCATTTGCGAGAAACATTGCCAAATAAAAGCCTGTGGTTATGGCTTCAGCACCATCAAAGCTATACACAGGTTTTCTTATATATTCTTGTCTTTTGGTTTGCACATATATTGCAAGTAGACAAAAAGTTCGTGTGAGATGTTCATGCAGCTCAATCAGCGGGACCTATCATTTTTGAGCTCAAAAATGAAAACCAGTACCTTTGGGCCAAAAGTATTGGTATCTGAAAGTAGACTACTCTGAGAGCTTTTTGAAAAGTAATTCTCTGTAATTTTTAGACCGAACACATTGGCTATAAATTGGAAAGTGATAGGTCTCATGAGAGCGAGCTCCATGTGGCCTACTCTCACACAACTGTTGCTGTACTACTCCTTAATGCCTTCAGGTATTGGTATATTACTCTCCATATGTCTTCCTTGTAATGGTTTCTTGTCAATTTTTGAAAATTATCAGATGATGTAAGCTTATTGATGGTGACGATTGATACCAATCCGTTCTTCTGGAGCTCGATGAAGAATAGTGATTCTTTTAATTTTTCTATGTTCTTATCTCATGTAAGTATGTAACCCTATAGCGTTAGATCCATTCTTTCATAATTTTTTTTTTGTAAAATATGTTGACACATAAGTAATTTTTTAATTTCACTATTTTACTTTTGGGGAATATTTTGTAGGTTATCTCGTTTTTGAATTCAATACTATTACTGAACCAGCTGAATCAAGTAGTTGTTATAGCAACTGGGTACAACTCGTGTGAGTATGTATTTGATTCCTCTGAACCCTCAAATCAGAGGGCAGAATGCATGTTGGAGACATTGCAAGAGTTTCTGGACAAGGACGAGTCGTTGAGCCAGGAATACTCAGTTGATGGGGTTGGCTCTTCACTTCTCTCTGGATCACTTTCAATGGCTCTGTGCTGTATCCCACAATTGAGTTCAACCAGCTTTTAAACCTTATACTCTGTGTGTGTGTGTGCGTGCACACCCACTTTTAGAATCCAAGCTTGCCTGGTCTGAATATGTTTGTTTGAAATTATTGGACTTGACCATTGTGGTTGTCTAGATATACAAAGGGTGTTTCGGTCTGGGCCACTCCATCCGCATCCTCGGGTGAGTTTTCATGTACTTCAAGA